GGGATAGCTTTACTTTTTACGTTTTTTACTTTACAACTTTTAACAGCTGATGATAACCAATTCGGTAGAAACATGCCGTGAAAAATTTTGACTAGATTTTATTAAGTTTTAATAAATTGTTGCACATAAGACTGTAGAATTAAAAATATTATATTATACATATTTTCCACTTTTGTTTGAACGAAATACGAGTCTGTCGTAGAAAACACTCCCAATTGGAATATTCTATACCTTAACATTTTCACTACTTACATAATATTTAGTACTGTGCTGTATCATTATTTATAATTATTTACATGGAATACATGTATATAGGAATGAGGAGCCGAGCGGTTGCCCTGCGCTCGAACCTGAAGAGAAACCCCGACTTCGGTATGTCGCAAAAAAAATAATATTTTATTTTTTAAGCAAAGGAAGAAAAGACTGAATCGAGTTATGCTGTCTCTATATGTTTCTTTGTGATATTCGCTGTACTGTCGATTCCTGACATTTCACGTGTATTGTAATTTAATGTAGCAAAGAGGATTAGAAAATGACAAATAAAGTTGCATTTGATACAGAAGTATGTGTGTGTGTGTGTGTGAAGGAACAAAGATGAAGAGAGGTACATACAGAACTACATAACTAAGAACTACATAACACAGAACCTTAAATATTAGTAATAATTTTAGGTATAAGATTATGAAATATGATCGAGAGAAACTCTTCCGATTGCAGATATGTCGAGATCTTTATCCACCGCGTTGGCAGCACAGGCGCACCGAGCAGAAGGACAGTGTTTATTAGAGGGACAAACACCTAACAATGAGAAGTCCCTAAGATTGCTGGGAGGAACACGTAGACTAACATTTTCCAAGAGGGAAATGCAGCATTGAAGTCCACGATAGATCTCGGGCGTTATTTCTCCGTTTACGTAAAGAATGTAGACTTAATTTATCTACTGCAAAAGTATAACTATAAGGAACATGAGGGTAAAAACGAGAGAAAGAGAAGGACGCAGTGCAGGATAAGCGCAAGCTTGTTGGCAACGGCAGACGTGATAGTATTCCAAATTACCGAGGCATATTACAACTTTGACCTGACTAACGTAAAGTACAGCATGCATAAACATTCCAGAGAAAATAATGCGAAGGTGACGGAGCGAATAAGGCCTAATATTTTTATGCATTTAGAAAATAAGAAAACAGCATGATTGTGAAAATATAATTTTGAATCAAAGAATAACATTTATGTCCTTGACACTGCTGGTGCGCATAATGGCAGCATGGCAAAGCTGATACTCGTAACCCAGAACATTTTTCTTCCTAGAGCATGACACAGTACGCGTTTTAGCAATATTAATCTCACGGAGTTAGCAGCGCACCAATTACTCCCGGAATTAATGTCAGATTGGAGTAAGACGCAATCATTTTGAGAGTTAATGACGCGGAACATTTTAAGGTAATCAAAAAAGAAAGAAAAAAAAAATTAGAATTTTTAATGTAGTTACATAGGTCATTAACGAATATGTTGAAATAATGATAATGTTGATAATAATAAATATCCAATTTTTATTATTACTGTTATTATATCCCATCTTTTCCATGAAGTGGACAGATGTTATAACAGCACGGATTTAGTCAAGTTTTTTATTTCTATCTATTACAGATGGAATGAAACATCATGATATATGGTGGTATTTGCGAACCGGTGAGTGCAGGGGTAGAAGTGGCTTTTAGAACCAGCAGACTCACCAGATCAACAGAAAAGCCAGGGTTAAAAGCCAACACATATTATAAGAAAATTATTTCAATGAAGTCTTCTGAATTTATTCTTTTATATGTCGTTGGGAACGATCATTACGACGCTGTAAGCCACTGGAAATACTCGTAGCTTCATAAGATGCCCTCTGAAACACAACTGCGGCGTCTTCTCCGCGTCTGTTCCCGTTCCCAACTCCGTGCTAATTCTTTCCCCCCCCCCTTGGCACTACAGCCCCAGTGGGCCTAGGCTTACCTCCATGAACTTCTCCGTTCACTTCGGTCCCATGCTAAAATACGTACATACAGGTATAAATACAAACATGAAGGGGGTACGCGGTAGCGTAGTTGGTTGAGGCACTATGCTACAAGGCGGAAGGTCGCGGGATCGAATCCCAATGAGGTGGATCTTTTCAATTTATCTAATCCTTCCAGCCGCACTATGACCCTGGGGTCGACTCATCCTGTAACAGAAATGAGTACGAGGAATATTCTTGTGGGTAAAGGGCGGCCAGCGCGTAAGGTTGACAACCTTACCGCCATCTATGAACTGATTGTCTAGAAAATGTGGGAACTTCAACATCTCACAACTCAATGGGCCTCCACGGCCTGTTACGGGGATACCTTTACTTTTTTTATTTACAAACATGAAAGTCTTGGAAAAAAGTGAAGGTTACTTCGTACTATGGTTGGACTATAATTCTTTTTGATAAAATGACCAATGGGACCCAAGCAGCAAAAGGTGATGAATAACTGCAGTAAAGCATGTATCTAAAATTGTTCATTTTGTTTTTGTGTTGATGGTGACAGGTGTTTCAGTTTTAAGTTCTCTACTTTTGTTGGGGGACTTCGAAGGATTGTACCACCAATAGAAATAATCAATGAACAAATATGGACCCGTTTCAGTTGCTACATTTGCTTAATATTTTTTTTCAACCAGTTTTATATTATTATTATGGCGCACCATAATGCGTGAAGGATTATTGTACTCTATAGAAGTGGTTCTCAAACTGAAATTTAACGGCCATGGGGATCCGTTGCACTGACCACGCGACACCTTCTATCCGCTAAAGCTGGCACTAACTTCGCCGACAAGCGGCGGTCGCTCGATCGGTGTAGTTCGCTTGCGGGCTAAAGCCACGGAGTTCTTTTATAGAAGTGGTTCATTTAAAATTGTATGAAAATTGACATATTCAAAACAAATATGATACGTTTTAATTTCACTTTTTTTTGGGTGATTAATTAATGGAAGAACTGATTGTGTAAAAGATCCTGGAGGTTATGTTAGATCGCAAACAGCATTTTCATCGTCATGTTGACTACTTACATTTCACCAGGGCTGCTAGGACTAATTCGTTTCAGCACATATAATTTTTCTTCTTCGGATAGTCTATAAGTTTTATATATTACCTTAATTTCATTCAAAGCTTAGGTACGCGTCTGTTGTATGGAATATCCTTACTTTCGCAGATTCTACTAAGCTGGAAAACTTACAAAGAAAGTTCGCATATTATGTTATAATCTATTTATTCGGCCCAACTTCTTTTGTAATTACGAATCAGTGTTGAATTACTCAATGCGTATAGGGTATTGGTGGGAAAGCCAGAAGGAAAGAGACCACAGGGAAGACCAAGGCGTAGGTGGGTGGACAATATTAGAATGGATATTGGAGAGATAGGATGGGATGGTATGGATTGGATGGATCTGGCTCAGGATAGGGACCAGTGGAGGGCTCTTGTGAACACGGTAATGAACCTTCGGGTTCCATAAAAAGCTGGGAAATTCTTGAGTAGCTGCAGAATTGGCGGCTCCTTCAGAAGGGCTCAGCTCCATGAGTAAGTAAGTAAGTAAGTTGAATTACTCACATTTTAAACCACTTTATTCCAGGTGACAAAATCTTGACACTCTCTCTCTCTCTTATTAACATTTTCAAGAGCACAACTGACTGTTGTTCCATTGCGGACACTGTTGGTCTCCGTGTACCCATTAAGCAAATTAGAGGCTTTTCCGCCTTTAACGTCAGCATTGTCTCGAACTTAGCCCTTCAGCAAGGGGCGTCACGGCTGCAAACATCTGCAATTCCGCAGACATTTTCAAAAATCATAATACCTTTCTCGAGGATACATTATCCTTTGCTTAATCCTACTGAGTTACATAATTATCGCTTTACCCGTATTACCTAAAATCAGTGTTCAGTGTTTGCGACGATTCTGTTATTTAAACCATCTGAAATATTCACTGAAAGAATAACTTGTGCCACAATTTGCAATTCACCACCTCTGTGGTCTAATGGTCAGAGCTCCTGGCTACAGATACAGAGGTCCCGGGTTCGATTAACGGCACTACCAGATTTTCTGAGAAGTAGTGGGTCTGGAACGGGGTCCACTTAGCCTCGTGAGGATAATGGAGGAGCTATTTCAAGGAAATAGCGGCTCCGGTCTAGAAACCCGAAATTAACGGCCGTGGGGTTTCGTTGCGCTGACCACGCGACGCCCTCTATCCCCTAAAGTTGACATTAACTTCGCCGACTAGCGGCGGTCGCTCTGTCGGTATAGTCGCTTGCGGACTAAAACCACGGAGTTTGTTTTTTTATCTTATTCTTATCATATGTTTCATTTCTCACTTCTTAATAACACTTAGATTTATGTTAATGAAATTATTAATATTGCTATTATTATCATCTGTTAGTTTGTTTACTTTTCTACATTTTGTTTTTCCCCAGTGCTTGCCTGTAATTTTTCTTTGACTTTATAATGTGTTTGTCTATAATGTAATTACTTTTATCTACACTGTGCTCTGTCTGTAATTGGCCTTGCGGCTGTTGACTCGGCACATAAATAATAAAGAATTGAATTATCATTATCATCATCGTCGTCATTTTTATTATTCAGTGATCATTTAAAATACAAATTTTTAATATTGCAAAACAGGTCTCCGGAAGCGGGCTGAGTTCCTTTCGCCCGCAACGCCACTTTCCGTAAGGTCTGTCCTCCTTACGCGTTACACTTAACGGTGCATATGCTCGAATATATATCAGTGGTATTGGCCATAACAGTCTTCAGCCTGACACCTGGCTCTTTGACATTTACGTGCTATATAACCCTAAACTTATAGTGACTGATATTAGAGTTCTTATTAACGCTAATATAAACACTACATCAATAAAACCTTACAGCAAGATAAAGATTTCTTATGGTTATTCTCGTGTGAATTTAGTAAACGTGAAAGTTTTTTGATTATAATAATTGCATATCTCCTTACCTGTGATTTGCGAGACGTTTTGGCTGATTCTTTCTCTACTTATTAAACCACCCCTACACGTCGTAATGGTTATAATTTGTTGTCATCCATAGTTCCTAGCATTGTTACACTCGGGCGCCAGCTATTATCGTTATGTTACGAGGAACAAGCCGTTCGTTAACCTCACATGCATTCATAACCACGACACTTCACTCTTGGCAACCAGCAGCCAACTGGAGACTGGTCACAGTTACTTCTCAAGAAACCTCGTGAAAGCGAGATACAAACTGGTTGATGACGTCACATTTCTTCTCCGGCACAACAATAAGCTACTGCCTTGTGAGATACCACCGCTAGCCTCTTGTGGCATACCACCGCTAGCCTCTTGTGGCGGAGAGGTTGGAGCGTGGAAATGGGCACTAGTTCCATGGCACTTTATATATACTTGTCCTCATCCTATTCAGAATTTTGTATTTCCATATCTGCTGTCTAAAAATGCAAAGATTAAAATTTGTACAAAACTGTAATCTATTTGTTGTCTTGCATATTGTGAAACCTGGTCACTCATATCAAGAGTAGTAAATAGATGGATGAAGATAGAGATCGGAGTACTGCGGAGAATGTTTGGACCCATGAGGAAGTAAGCAAAAGAAAACTGTACAAAGTTTCATTTTGTACCATTCATCAAATATTTTTATGCCGATCAAATAATTGGTGAGATGGACGAGGCATATGGCACTCATGGAGAGGACCAAAATATATAAAAGAGTCTGCCTGGAAAACCTAATTGGAAGAGCCACTTGAAAGACCTGGACGTAGATTAAAGGATTATATTAAAATGAACAGGAAAGGAGTAGAATACAAGAATCTGGATTGGATTCATCTGACTCAGGAGTGTGACCAGTCAACACAATAACAAACCACTGGGTTCAAGGAGAATTTTGTCTTCCACGATGTAACGCTGTATAGTCCATTGAAAGTTAACCAGTTTTTTGGAGGAATATATCACCTCTATCTTCAGGGCAGAGAGTAAGCTAGGTATAAAATCAGCATGAAGCAAGCAGCAAATATTGGTCGACATTCACTGGACTATATAGTGTTATATTCCAGAAGATGGATATTTTTACAGCCACTGCTTTGAGAATCTCACATCAGACCCTGTGTTCAAGTTTTCTGACCAGAAGTTTGTATTGCAATAAGCATGAAGATTACTGTATCCAAAATCTTATATAATGAAAAGTTTCATAATTGTTCACCAACTGCTGTGGTGATCATATCCATGTCATGCCGGCAAAAACTCTGTATTTATTTTTGCTTAATGAAGATAGAAACATGGACACTTAGGGCAGTAGATCAGAAACATCTGGAAAGTTTCGAAATGTGGTGCTGGAGAAGGATGGAGAAGCTCGGTTGGACCGATTATGTGAGAAATGAAGAAGTGTTAATTAGAGTCAGTGAGCAGAGGAATATCCTACACGAAATAAGAAAACGGAAGGCTAATTGGATTGGTCATGTTTTACTGCCTTCTAAAAGAAGTTATTGAAGGAAAGATAGAGGGGCGGATAGAAGTGACAAGAAGATGAGGAAGAAGATGTAAGAACATGCTGGATGACCTTGGGGAGAGACGAGGATACTGTCATTTGAAGGAGAAAGCTCTAGATCACATTAAGTGGAGGAATTATTTTGGAAGAGACTGTGGACCTGTCATCTGACAGATTACTGATGATTATGAAGATAGATCATGATAAATTTTAGGTGGTAGACTAAATTTTCTGTGATCATAGGGTATAATCATGTACACAAATAAAACATACCAGTGGCAAATTTTAGTCTCATAGTGAAGCTGTGCAGAGAATTTCATTACCTGGATGTATTAACAACTGTACTAATGCTCACTCTTTTCCTCATGCCAGTGTGTGTGTACAGCCACAGTACCGAGCCAAGCTGTGAATATGTCGGCTTAACTGGCATGACATATACAAAGCTAAGAAATGCTGTGATGAATATATTATGTGAAATGGACAGGGAAAAATGAACTAGTAAAATAATACACCATTTCATGATTCAGAAATTTATTTTAGACAAGATGGTAGAAAAAAAAATACCTCACACAGTACACATCTCACTTTTAAGTATAAAAGAAAAACTGGTATCTACACAATATATAAAAAAGTAATACTGTCCACAAAAAATAAAGATATCAGAAAAAATGCCTTGAGTCACAAAGAACTTGTGTAAAAAACTTTATTTTATTACAGCAAAAAATAAAAAATAAAGTAGTTATCACAACCTGCATATCTTGAAATACTAGTGTAACCATATAAATACTTTATAAAAAAAATCCTTCCCAAGCACTGCCATTAGTACAAAATTCCAGGGACAAAGTCTTCTGGAAAGGAGAACAATATTGACATCAAAAAATAATATTACATGCTACATTTAATATCAAGTGTGGCTCAATTTAAAAATAAACCATACAAATTTGCCTACTACAAGTACTATTGGCTTTCCATACAAAATCACAAATAACAAATAGAAATACATCGAGAAAAATGGAGCACTTTCTTAAGAGAAGTTTCCTAAAGACTAGCATCACTAGATTCCTTAGAGACAAATTACAGCATCTGGGAGGTACCTTTTCCAAATGTTCCGACCATCAATTCTTAGTGAAGCACCGCTCATGATTTTGGATGAATTTTAGAGTACATTAGTAATTATTAGCGATGTGTACCTGCGACCTTATATCCATCTGTGTATATGAACAACACTACTCCAGGCAAAGAGATGTTCATGAAACTTATAATCTTAGTTTACTTGATGGCACGTTCTACAATGCATAGGTTATGCAGTGTCAAATTGGAGAATACGTGAGAATGAATCAGGAAAAATGTGACTGGAAGTGTTATGTCCAGATGCTAGTATAAACTGTAATGCTTTGACAGGCACAAGAACTAAGTATGTTCAATTTGTAATCCAAACTGAAAATTCTCAAAATTTATTTCCTATAATTTTTGCCAAGATTCCAACATGGAACCTCCTAATACGAATCACTAATACTAAGCCACTGTACCACAACTATCAGTATCATGAATGACGAAAAACATCTTAGTCCACATTATTTTAATCCAGAAGGTCGCGGATTCGAGTCCTGATGAGATGGATTTTTTTTTTCAGTTGACCTAATCCTTCTACATGCACTAGGGCCCTGGGGTCAACTCAGCCTCCAAAAGAAATGTGTACCAGGAATCTTCCTGGGGGGTAAAGGGCGGCCGGCGCGTAAGGCTGACAAACATACCGCCATCTGTGAGCCGACTGTCTAGAGAAAAGGTGGGAGCCTCGAGGTCTCACAAACCTATGGGCCTTCGCAGCCTGTTACAGGGATCGCTTTACCTTTTTTGCCACATAATTTTATCAACCAACCACGAAAAAAGACACAGTCCATTTTTGTCATATTCATAATGAAAAACTGCAGATATGCACCTCTTAGCTTCAACATTTCTGTCTGTCTGCATATAACAGCTCAAGAATAACTGAATACATTTTCATGAGATTTGATTTTTGAGAGTCTTAGCACAGTTCGTTAAAATTGCACAACTGTAACAGACATTTTGCGTGAAGTCCTGCAGGTATTTCTTCATGCATCTCGAGTATAACACACTAAATATTTATTGGAGCAAACACATTTTTAATAAAAGCTGTAGAGGAAACTGAAACACACATTTTATGCCCACTACACTTTTCATGGCTTTTGAGATAATTAACTGAAAGAGAATTTTATGCTAAGAGACCATAACAGTGAATATACCAGAATTTTTATGCTATGCATACATTTCCTAATGTATTTATATTTACACCCAGAGAAGATGCTCATTGATATTCCTTCATTGCATTTGCTGTTCTTTCCAGAATATATATATAGCATATAAGTTACACTATGCTTAAGTAAAACATTTTAAGCCATTTAAAACTTCTTGTTCATTTCTGAAATATTCATTCCATTTTTAAATTTGGAAAGATTTAACTTCAGTGGTTTGTACAAGTCTGCAAACTATGCAATTGATTCATTTTCATTTAGTAACTATTTTTGCTTAAAATCTCTAAAAAATACATGCACAAAGAACGTAAATAAACAGCATGGATGTCTGCAACACCTTTCAGCTAACATCTGTCAATATTACTTATATCTACTGAATGAGCCCAGTGTTAAATCTTCATATATGTTGAGGGGTCTACAGTCTTGTAAATATTCTGGCTCATCTTTGTTCTTTTCAGTTACCTCTTTGGATGTTCACTCTGTTTACTTGGATATAAGGTGAGAGTTCTCCTTAAACTGTCTGTATTCATAAGTGTGCCTATATGTTCTCATACTATAAGCCATTGCCACAGCAAGTGTATTTTTACATAAAATGTGAAGACTGCTTGAAGCAGTTCCTTCTGCCATCTGTGAGTGATGTGATCTGCACAGTTTAGTAACTCAGCAGAATGCAGTGTTAATGAAGAATGCCTCCAAGTGCCACATCAGGAAGCAGTCAGAAGCAATTTCATCTTATTATAGGGAAGATAACTTAATGGAGAAGAGTCACTGAGAAAGCTACTCAGTAAATTCCATGTCTTTTATGGAACCCACAAGTTCATTACCATGTTCACAAGAACTTGCCACTAGAACCATGGTAAGGGTTTCCATGTTGTGGCATCCCCAGGTTACAGACGGACATGACCATCATATATGGAGAGCACCTGTGAACATACTGAAGAAGTAGTCACAGACAGCCCACAAGGAGTGGTCCTCCAGTTTGAGGGTTGAGTAGGGGACTAACAACTCTTCAATGCAAAGAAACCCTCCATATAATGAAGTGTAATACAGATGTGTTCAACTCTGTAAATTGGAAAAAGGAGGATCATCTACAGCAGGGCTATCCAACTCATGGCCTGCCAGTTGGATTTGTAATGCCCGTAAGAGTGTCCGACT